TGACTGTAAAGCTAAGTGACTTCCCGATCCCGCATCTCGAGGGGACGAGATATAGAGACGAGACGAGACGAGACGAGACGAGACGAGACGAGACGAGATTCCCCCTGACACGTGTGGAGAACCCCAGAGAGAAGAATTTACCCCTGATACCTCATTCACTGCGTCCTCCACTTACCAACAAAGCAGCACCTACTATCTGTCTGTAAATCATTTAATCAAGACGTCTAGCTATTTTAAAGTTGATTAGGACACCGATTACCAAATAATATCTAATACCTATCTGACTAGGACGCTAAGACAATGAATCGTTTGCCGTTGTTTTGAACGGTTTTGGCCAAAACATTAAGAAATTTAAGAAAAATACGAGAATATCGTGACGTTTTTCTAGAGGCTCGTCTTGGTGGTTCGAGATAGAAGTCGTGCCGAGGCGGTATGTCTGACGAACATTAGTGAAAATCCAGAGCGTCCGATAGTTCATTTACAAAATAAATTGAGAGATTTATAACTTGAAGAAAAAGTACGTATTTTTTACTTAGCCAAAACATTAAGAAATTTAAGAAAAATACGAGAATATCGTGACGTTTTTCTAGAGGCTCGTCTTGGTGGTTCGAGATAGAAGTCGTGCCGAAGCGGTATGTCTGACGAACATTAGTGAAAATCCAGAGCGTCCGATAGCTCGTTTACAAAATAAATTGAGAGATTTATAACTTGAAGAAAAAGTACGTATTTTTTACTTTTTTTAATGAAACTTGGTACATAGATGCTATAGAACAATGCATAGACCTGATTAAGTTTGAGGTTAAATATTAATTACCTAATTTGCATAATAATTTGTAAGCTTTAAGTTTTTCTAATTTTATTTCAATGAATCTTAATACACAAATGCTCTAAGACATTTCGATCACCTAATTAGTTATGGGTTTTATACATACATTCATCATAATTACCTAATTTGCATTAAAATGTAATTTTTGGCTGTTACACAATCAATCATCACATTCTATTGGAACATAGTAAACAAGTGCCCTGGGACAATGCACAGACATGCTCGGTTTTCGGTTGAAATCCGTGCATATAATGACTTATTCGCATAATCATTAACACATTTTCCATCTACATCGCAGACACCAATTATTGCATTTAAATAACACCTTGTATAAAAGTACCCGAGTTCAATGCCAATGACCAGTTTAGTTTTTGATCGAAATTCGAGCATAATGGCCCAATTTGTACATGTTTATTCATCACATTTAATTAAAATGTCTTACCTAGAGTTCTGGGGTATACCACATACGTGATTAGTTTAATGTTGAAAAAATGCATATTGATCTCAGATTTGTATTAGCCAGTTTCTGATGACACAAATTAATTAGATTTAAATTGAACTCGTGACAGAGGAACCCAAGAATAAATCAGACTACAGATGTACAATCACATTTATTTTCTCTGAATATTGTAAAGCTTCAATACTGTGTTTGACACTTGTTTTCATGTTGTGCATCTCAAATGAAAGACTAATAATAACTGCCAAAGCTTCTTATTTGAAAGGCTAATTTTTAATTTTTAATTCATTTTAAATGAACTCTCGGCACACGGGAATTCTTTTTAAGCTTCCGTTTATTTCGTATTTTAACGTGTTTGTATCACATCGTGTTGTATAGTTATCAATTTATCTTCTTAAGTTCATGTTATTTTGGATATTAAAGAGCTTGGTCTTTTCCACGAATCGAAACGAAACGAAACGAAACGAAACGAAACCCTAACCCGCATTTTTTTCATTGGCCTAATAATATCTGAGGAAATTTCACACTGTGAAACACGAAATGATTAGCGCCATCAGTGTTCAACAATTCCAAAATGGCTGTCACGTCATGTCAGCACAAATGAATCGTGCTGCAAAGTAGGCGGAAAAGAGGTGGAAACTAAATATTCTCGAAAAATTTATTTCTGTGACGTGGCGATGTCTGAAGTCGTTCAAAATTTAAGATTAGGATTTCGTTTCGTGGAAAAGACTAAGCTGTATTAAAGATTTAGAAAATATGGGAAAATCCATATAATGTTAACTTCGATTTTTCATCGAATTGATGAATCGTCTTCTTTATAGTTTATTTGTGATTATATGCCATACCAAGACGGATATTCATATCCAAACAAATGGAAATCAACGCTATACTTTTCGTATAAACCATTTATCTGGTCTTTTGATAGTCTGTTGTAGTATTTTCTGAGCTTAGCACGCCTGGAGCTTTGAGTCCTGTGTCGGGAAAGTGCAGTTGGAAACACCGAGCCATTCATACCAACACTTCGTAATATGAAATCGACATCCGAAGAGATGGTCTCCATTTTGCCAATGACGTCATAGTGTATTTTACAAGGACTGCAGAGTGTGTGATAAGGCGCCCAATGACGGTTAAATGCACCTGTATTCAAAACATAATCAACAAAATGCGAGAACGTCACCGCTTGCGATTCACTCAATGAAAACATCGTTCTCATATTTGTTATATGACGATGCATTGCAGAAGGGTTCTGAAGTTTTCTTTTGATGGAAAGCTTTGCTAGAACTATGTTCAAATATGCAGACAAAAATCGTTCAAACGGGTGCCTCACCATCACCACTTTGACGTAATCTGTAAACACGTGGTTTATATTTCTGGACATTTCATGGAATTTCAGCAACGTGATATTTTTCATTTGCGGGGAACCATTGCCGAGTTGACGGAAAATTTGTTTCCAACTAGCAGACGCGCATTTGGCAATTAAACAAAACAGAAAATTGTGTTTTGCGTCGATTGCAATTACTGGGTTGATCGGTGGATATGCGACTTGCATCGGAGATAATGACTGGCAGACATTCATCATGTGTGTTCGTCTCTTTGTGTACACATCCGTCTCCCCATATAGGATACCTTGAGCGGGCATCGTGACAGCGGTGTACTCCATTCCCGCATATGTATTCACTAAATAAAAAAACGTTTAGTAATAGTTTAGTGGAAAATATACATAAACTACATTGAACTATAGTGGGATGTGATTTAATTTTCATAAATCAAATTTGCACCAAATTTTACTTCGTGTTATGATATAGACCATTGTAGCGTTATGCAGATAATGAAAAACACATTTTTTAATTACGCTGGACTCTTCAATCTACCTTGGACCACAGTCACTCTACTAGTAGAGTGACTTTGCTTGGACACGGTCTGCATAAGCTGATTTACGTACCCCCGCAAAATTATGGGGAGCTTTCTATTATGCATTTAGGTATATAATACAACCTATTACATGGCGGAGTCCGATTGTACCTTATTCGCCGGGACACATTCTGGAGAAACTACAACCCTACAAAGGCTATATGCGCGGTGACTGAGCAACGAAACAGTTCTTACCAGGATCATGAAAATGCAGTGTTGATAAGCAAATTATAATCAGAATACAAACCACACAGATGGGTTTACAATAAACTTTCCATTTTTGACCAGTCACTGTTAGTTTAGTATTACCACAGCCCGAAGGCGAATTGGTCATCGTATGATCCCTTCGATAAACGCCCAATAATGACGTTACATACGCCAATGAAATATGTGATCACATTGTTCAAAAATATCTACAGCATTCAAGTTAGTACCCTCACTTTCATTGGCTGACAAAGACCAACACCTGAATATTTAACCAATCGAAGATTAACTTGTGTGATAGCAGACACCTTGGGGTTTTGAAAGACGTTGGGAATTTGCTGTTGATTATGTAATAGATACGAGTATTCTCTACACTTTCCCTAAATGTCACACATCCTGGAAATCTCAAGGTATTGATACACAACAATTCCCGATATTGTTACCCATTTTTTAGTGGTAAACTGTTTTTCAAAATTCAATGACAACTGGTTATATTTTCTGAATTACTGTAAAAGGGTTAATTATTCACTGGGTTTTAATTTTGCTTATTTCTCTGATTGGAAAATGCGCTGAATTAAAAATATATAAAATTGAGCATAGAACACATTATCTAAATAATAAAACCATGAATTTAAAACCCACTGAATATGCCTGAAATGGTAAATCAGTGAAATTTAAACCCAGTGAAAATTAGTAATTTTACAGTATAATCGCGATTTTTTTATTGAGAGTGTGTTCGTGTCTCCAGAAATTAGCAAGACTCGTGGAAGGCCCGGGGTCGTGCATAAGCCTAATGACTGTATATTACCGTCTTGGATGTTCAGGGTATAATGCCCCAACTTCAACAAGTCAACAGTTAAGGTTGATAACGGAAACAGGTAACATTCGTAAGCTGATCGCGTTTCCAAATATGGACTCGGAAATATTTTATAGTGATGAATTGTTTGAGTAGTCATAATTTAAAGACCGCACTCTAAAATCACTCTTAAAGCGCGGTGGTCGTCGCGCAGCGCATGTTCGAATTTCATGTAAATAAACAATGTATTTTACACGCGTTGTATACGTCGCTATGAGTCCTATATCGAACAGGACGCGGCACGACGACTGCCGCGCTTTAACTCTTTATCGGAGTATTGGGTCCAGTTTGTGACATATGTTATGGTATGAATACGTAAATTACGAAAAAAACGCGACGCAAATGCTCGAAAAGCCTAAAATGGGACGTCAAACAGATCGTAATTTTCCGAGTTTTTCTATCACATCGCCATCACAATGTATTACTCACAGATGCAAGTATCATCTATGCCTGGTTGTCTGTGCCTTACATTTAATTTAGTTGGCGTTCACCTCTCTCTTTTGAACTGTATTTGAACTCCGAGTCTGGGCCTACCGATTCAGATCAATACCAAGTACGGTACATGACTATTTTTGTTGGTACTATACCCAGTCACATGAATGACTTTCTTGTTTATTAGTGCAAACAAGTCATTGAAATGTATGTTTTTTCCCTTATATTCACGCTGTTGGGTTAAAATCTCAATGAGTGCCGATGGAAGTCATCAAACTCGTTCTGAGATGCGTTCTACCGAGGCCGGGCCAAACAACGTACATCATGACCTGGGATCATGACATGACACATCGCGTGCT